ATTATAAGTAAATTTGCAAATTTAAAAGACCGACGAATAAACATGTCATATATAACGTGATTGGCTGGTTACCTTATGAAAATTTGTTTTTATATTTTTTCATATTTTTTATTATTTAAGTAGGAACATTTTTTTTATTTATTAGATAAATATGTCACTTTGTTTTTTTTTTCTTTTACTTAATTTTATTGTAAATACAATTTTTGTTCAGATATTATTATCAATAATATAATAATAACATAATTTATGGTTATACTAGGGCTATTGGCGAAGATGTCCATAATAAAAAATGACCTGGAAATTTATTTATTATCTGAGAGCGGATTAATAAAATAACCAAATAGTTGCGTAGGTATTATTTTTTATAAAATCTTAATGAATAATCCTGCTCGTAAACATCAGTTTATCTATAACATTGTAAATGCAACTAAACATTTCCAGATGCATTTCGTCGTTTGACCTTGAAAATTTAAACATTTTTTTTGCGGCGCTTTTTTTCTTTCTTACCTACCTAGTAAAATAGCCACGAGCCTCAACTATTCACAATATTACGAGCCGCCACTGGTTGATGCAGTGCTCAATTTCCTCCTTCGAGGAATGGGTGGTCGTGGGCCTGTTGGCATAAACTTTAGACTTCAAAAAACCCCAAAGAAAAAAGTTCAATGGCTTTGATCGCATGATTTTGGTGGCCATTCACCAGAACGAGAAATTACACGACCAGGAAATGACTCATGCAGTAATTCAATTGTTTCTCGGGCTGTATGAGGGGCACTACAAAGGCTTTAAGGACAAGGCAGGTATTAATTTAAAGTAAATTATAAACAACTTCCTTACAACAGAACAAAGTAAGATTAATTTTAACGTAATTTAATAGATATCTATTATAAATTATTAATATATGTACATAGGTAGCTAATAATGGAGCTCTCTCTCACGATATTCTCTCTTTTTTTCAAGACGTAATGACGTAGACTAGTGCTCTAAACGTATTAAAATCGCTAGTCAAAGAATTTCTGAATTAAGAAATATTTGTAATTATGCGAAAAATACTACTACCAAGTAAACGAGGCAAAAGTTGTGACGAATTGAAAATATTTTCGAAATATATTTCCCTTTAATTAAGTACCTACACGTTTTGGNAAATCCTGCTTGTGAACATCAGTTTTTCTATAACATTGTAAATGCAACTAAACATTTCCAGATGCATTTAGTCGTTTGGCCTTGAAAATTTAAAAATTTTTTCTTGCAGCGCTTTTTTTCTTTCTTACCTACCTAGTAAAATAGCCACGGGCCTCACCTATTCACAATATTACGAGCCGCCACTGGTTGATACAGTGCTCAATTTCCTCCTTCGAGGAATGGGTGGTCGTGGGCCTGTTGGCATAAACTTTAGACTTCAAAAAACCCCAAAGAAAAAAGTTCAATGGCTTTGATCGCATGATTTTGGTGGCCATTCACCAGAACGAGAAATTACACGACCAGGAAATGACTCATGCAGTAATTCAATTGTTTCTCGGGCTGTATGGCATGTAGCACCGTCTTGTTGAAACCACATGTCACCTATTTGCAATTTATATACAAAATATTGGATTATCATGTCGCGATAGCGAGCACCATCAACTGTTATTATCTGACCAGGCGCATTTTAAAGAATAATAGTCCGATGATGTTTCCAGCTCAAAGTCCGCACCAAACAGTGACACGTTGTGGATGCATTTGTTTTTCAACAATCACCTGAGCATTTTTATTTTGTTAAATTATTTTGTTTCTAGTTATTTACTATATTTTCTATCCTATTCCTAATTGGGCACTTGCCCTTTGGATATTGGAAAATAAATAAGTAACCTTCATCCGCGGACATCCTGTATATCCATGCCCATTATTAACAGCCTGTACATGATTGTAAGCCTAAATGAAGTAAGAATGTACTAATATTTTATTGAAGCAATTAATATCCGTGTATAGCCGACCGTAACTATGAGTTTTTTGCTGTACCCCCGCCGTTTCGGGCGGACATAAAAAAGGGTCGTAATAATTCAGGCCGATATTAATAAAATATTAACCCGCGCCCCCGACTTGGCCTCCCTTCAAGGCGCGAAGGTGCAGGGTAGCTGCCATTTTCGGGGAAGGCGTAGTAGGAAATTAAACCGTCGTTGTGTATCAGATGGGTTTTGCTGCCGTTTCGTATTTTTTACGGATTACCTGCCGGCGCGTCCCATTCTGTCACGGCGACGGATAATAATGAAATTTTCAGTAACGAGTTATCCGGCAAATTTAATAAATGGTTTTTCTGGGGATCGAAAGCCTTGCAGGAATCTCCAACCGCTCCGTCTTTGTCAGCTTGCCCGACGAAACGGATGAGAACCTTTTATATGTTTTGTTTTTCTTGTCGTGAGAGGTGTGCTGGGTGGCATTGTGCAGGTTCTTTTAAGGAAGCGTTCTACTTCCTATACTTTTAGGTTTAGATTGCTAAAAAAATAACAAAAGCAGCTAAATCACTTTCTTTAAGGTAGGGACAAACATAGTAGCTATTGTCGCAACCTTAAACAATCAGTATTATGCAAGCTGCGTAATAGCTACCATTTTATTATTTATGCTAGCTAAATTATGTTAACCCTTTGTTCCCTGAAAACTTATTCATTAAAAAATTGAGGTAAAAGTTAAAGAATGTTACTTTATTGTGTTTCTAAAAGGTAAAATATTTAAAAATATATAATTTTTTAAAAAAACTTTTTTATTATGCTATGGTTTCACAATGTAACCACTAGTAAATTGTTCACTCCAAAAAATATGAACTTGAATACTACATATTACATATAAGATTTTTTAACTTTACTTTTTATGATACAACGGAAAACAGTTTTTTTCAGTAAGGCACAATCCAACTTTACACGTCTCACATTCCCACCTGGTTCTGTGAGGATCTCTACTAGTGCTACAAAAGGCACATCGTCTGGATGTCCCGTGCTTTGGCATATGCAAACATTGTTCAAACCGTTTTTCATAGGGCACAATTGGTTTGAAATGACTCATTGTAACTGTAGGTGAAGAATTCCTACTCCGCACGTTTTTTTCACCAACGACTCCGATTAAACCTGAAGCTACAGATAACCTGAAAAATTTCAGGTTTGGAACCGCGCACTGCGCTTTTTGTTGAAACAGAATAAAAGAATTGAGAACGCATAAATCTATGAAATGCCAAATAATTCGGTGCCACCATTTCTTAGATTTGCGGTCAATCTCATAAACAGATTTCAACATATCTGTTTTATCAACATAGCCCATATGTTGGTTATATTCCTTGACCATCATTGGGCAGGCTATGACTTGTGAGTTTCCGTCTTTCTGCTTTCGGGCAACAGTCGCTTCTGTTGAAGGATTCTGATGATTTCCCAAAAAGTGAACTATTTTTCGGTCCCTCCACTTTATAAATGCCAGTCCATCTTTGCTAACCCTCCAGTCAGATTGTCCTCGGGTCTGTAATTCTTTGTCAGATTGTAAGTCATTTGGGACATCTTTTCGCTTAGCCCTGACTGTGCCGCATGCATAAGTAAATTCTGCTTTAAGTGTCTTCTGTAATGGCACAGAGTTGAAAAAGTTCCCGTCAAATCTAAAATAACCCTTTGGCCCAAGTCTTTTTCAGGTTGATAATTAATTTTTCCAACATATATCTGAAACTGGCAGACGTATCCATTCTCGTCAGATCGAACCCAGACTTTATACCCTCGTTTGATGGGTTTTAGGGGCATAAATTGTTTGAGAAAACTGCGACCCTTAAAACGAATCATAGATTCGTCAATAGATTGATGTTTTGAAGGGGCGTAAGAAGAACGAAAGGTTTCAGATAAAGTATCTAATAAAAAGCGAACTTTGTACAACTTGTCATAGTTTGGTGAGTCACGAGCAGGCATCACTGAATTGTCTGCTAAATGCACATTTCCCAGAAGCCAAGCAAACCTATCTCTAGACATTGCTAACCTATGTAGTGATCTCGTAGTTGTTCCCTAGACGACCGGTAATCACAATAACTGGGCAACTTTTTAATTCCCATCAAGATATTTATTCCAATGAAAATTTCGATCTCTTTGGCAGAAGTTGGTGTAAATGTAGAGTCTCCACCACGTTTTTGTAAGGCATATAGATTCGTTTCAAACACGATTTTGTCAATTAAAGTTTTGGGAAACAAGTGTAAAAAAAAATCAACTGGCCT